AGGATTGTCCCTGAGGGATTATGGAGGTGGGGGATGATCCACCAGGAGGAACAGGGCTTAGGAAGGTCCCCAGGAGATCAACAGAGATGGGGGTGACCCAGCAGGTGGGAGGGGGCTCAGGAACATCCCCAAGGGGTGATGGAGGTGGGGTGACCCACCAGGGTGATCCCCAAATGGGGATGGAGGTGGGGTGACCTGGCAGGTGGGGTGGGGGCTCAGGAAGGTCGAGAGCCAGTTTGGGCTGGAAGGCACCTCAAGGACCCTCAAGAGCACCTCCCACAGACCGGGCTGCCCCGTCCAGCTCGACCCTGGCTGTCTCAGGGGAGGGGTCACCCCCCAGACCCCCTCCCACGGGGAGGGGGTCCCCATGTTGCCCACCCAGCATGCGCAGGCGGCCGATCTTGTCCATGAGCAGGGCCGAGACGATGTTCCCGGGGAGCACGGCCAGGGTGCCCAGGAAGCTGACAAAGTAGATCATGTAGGCGTTGTTGTCGTCGCTGAAGTCCAGCTGGCAGCCCTCCTTGTTGTGCAGGAACGTGCTGTTCACCACCCGGCTGTTGATGAACTTGTACTCAAAGAGATCTGAGGGGGAGAGGGGGACATGGGGTCGCTCTGTCTGCACGGCCCCCTTGGGCACCTTCCTGATCCCCTCCCGCCTGGTGGGTCACTCACACCTTCATCACCCCCTCAGGGACCACCCTGGTGGGTCACGTTATCTCCATCACAGTCTGGAGACCATTCTGAACCCCCCTCCCACCTGCTGGGTCACCCCGTCTCTGTCACCCCTTGGGGGTCTTGTGGGTCACCCCAACTCCACCATCCCCTTGGGGACCTCCCTGACCCCCCCCTCTCCAACCTGGTGGGCCCCCCCCCAAACTCCATCAGCCTCCTGGGGACCCCCCTGGGGGGTCACCCCCCCTCCACCCCCACCTGTGTTGTAGAAGACGGTGGAGATGAAGGTGCAGTTCTTGAAGAAGGTGTTGCTGGAGGTGATGTCCTCAAAGTAACACTCCTCGAAGAGCGAGTCCTCGAACGTCACCGACTTCATCTTCAGCCCGATGAACCTGCGTGGTGGGACGGGAGGGAGACCCCACCGCTTCCCCCCTGCTCCTGAGCCCCAAGCTCGGCCCCCCCAGGCTCAGCCCCCCCAACCTCCACTCACTTGTCGTTGAAATACTCGCCGCCACGGTGCACCTGGTTCTCCAGGGTGAAGTTGAAGGTGAAATGTCGAACCTTCTCCCGCGTGAAGAGCTTGGTGCGAGAGGCGTACTCGATGCTCTGCAGGTGCTTGATCATGTCGGGGAACCACACGGTGAGCCCGTAGTAGCTGCGGGGAGAGGGGTGAGTGGGTCCTGCGGGCCCGGGGCTCCCAGTGCCAACCTGTGCCATCCCAGGGCCAACCTGTGCTATCCCAGTGCTACTCATCCCATCTCATCCCACCCGGTGCTGCCAGCTCCACCTCAGTCCCAGCCCAGAGCTCCCAGTACCAATCTGGTGCTATCCCAGTTCTGACAGCTCCATCTCAGTGCTGCCTGGCTCCATCTCAGTCCTGGCCAAGTGCTGTCTGTCCTGGCTCAGTGCTGCCTAGTACCATCCCACCCCATCCCATCCCATCCCATTCCATTCCATTCCATCCCATCCCATCCCATCCCATCCCATCCCAGTGCTGTCTATCCCATCCCATCCCGCCCCCCGGCACCTGAAGGACATGGTGAACCACACCGCCATCATCATCAGCGTCACGCGCCGGAACTCGGGCGCGAAGCACTGCTGGAAGTTGCTCCAGACCTGTGAGGGGACGTGGGAGGTGATGGGGACACGGGAGGTGGCGGGGACGTGGCGGGTGACAGGACAGGGAGGCCACGGGGACCCCCGAGCAGCTCCGGCCTCACCTGCTGCGACAGGTTGAGGCATCGGACGAGCCAGCGCCGGTACCACGTCCCGGTGTCCGACTGGATCTCGATGAGCTCGTCCTCCCGCTTGATAGTCTTGATGTGTGTGACCTGGGGGGACAGTTTGGGGACACAGGGAAGCACCAGCCTCGGCCCTGCCCCACCTTGTACCTCAGTTTCCCCCTCACGGGCACTGCTTTTATCCCAGAGCTGGGAATTGCAGCCCCTGCTCCTGGAGGAGCCCCCCCTCCCACCTTGGGGTGCTGGGGACCCCAGAGCCCAGCCCTTGGGGGGGTCCTTACCGAGAAGACCCTCTCGGGGTGGCCCTTGGCCCTCATGTTGGTGTCGTGGACCTGCTTCAGCACCATCCAGGCCTCATCGTGCTTCCCGTTCTGTGAGGCAGCACCGGGTCACCCCGGGACACCCCAGACACGGACACGGACATGGACAGGGACACGGACATGGACAGGGACACGGATCACCCCCCTGCAGTCCCTGACTGGGTCCCACCACCCACCTGGGTCCTGCCACCCACTTGGGGGTCATTGTGTGGGTCCCTCCACCGTCTTCATCACCTCCTTAATGTCCCACCACCCACCTGGGGTCCCCGGCTGAGTCCCATCACTCACTCCAGAGGGTTCCTGCCCAGGTCCTACCACCCCTGGGTGTCTCTCTCTGGGGTCCTCCATCTCCACCACCCACCTGGAGGTCCCTGCCTGAGTCCCCCCTTCTCTACCATCCCCCTGGGGATCACTTCCTAGGTTCCCCCATCTCCACCACCCACCTGGAGTTCCTGGGTGTGTTCCATCACCCACCTGGGGGTCCCTGACCTAGTCCTCCCATCTCTACCACCCCCTGGGTGTCCCCCTCTGGGTTCAACTCCACCACCCTCCTGTGGGTCCCCACCCAAGCGCCCCACACACACGGGAATCACTTCCTAGGTTCCCCCATCTCCCCCTCTCCACACTCGGGGTCCCTGATGCACCCCCAGCCCCCCTCCCGGGCCACTGCCGTGCCCCACCCCGTGCCCTCCCACCTCCAGGTAGAAGCGGGGGCTCTCGGGCATGGTGGTGAGTGCCCCGATGGCGAAGACCGAGGGGAAGGCGCAGACGAGCACGAAGACCCTCCAGCTGTGGAACTGGTACGCGGAGCCCATCTGGAAGCTCCAGCCTGCGGGGGACGGGACAGGACACGATGCTGGGGCTGAAACCCGGCGAGCCCCTCACGCTCCACCGGCCCGGGGGGTCCTACCGTAGTGGGGGATGATGGCCCAGGCCATGGCGGAGGCGTAGATGCCCCCGATCATCCAGAACATGCAGAGCCAGCTCAGGTGCTCCCCTCGCTTCTCCTGCGCCAGGAACTCCGAGAAGTAGGAGAAGACGATGGGGATGGAGCCGCCGATGCTGGGGACGGAGGGGAGCGGTGTCACCCCTGCCCCTGTGACCCCCCCCATGCACGGGGGGGAGCTCGGCCCCCGCTCTGGGGGTCCCACGCGTGGCCAGGGCCCCCTTACCCCACGCCCGAGAGCAGGCGGCAGAAGAGGAAGGTGCCGTAGCCCTGGACGAAGGAGGAGAAGAAGGCGAAGACGCTGTTGACGGAGAGGGAGATGAGGAGGCACTGCCTTCGGCCCAGCCGGTCGGCCAGCCCGCCCCACACGAACGCGCCCACCATCATGCCCAGGTACACGATGAGTCCTGGGGAGGGGGACAGGCGGAGAGGTCACTCCCGGGGCACTCGGGGACCTGTGCCCCGAGTCACCAGGCAGAGGGGGACAGCGCTGGCAGGGACCCCCTCCCTGGGACACCTGGGTGCCCTTGCAGGGAGGGGACAGAGCCCTGTGTGTGAATGGGGGGTGGGAATTGTCTCCCTGCTCTGCTTGGGAGGGGGGGCAGAGGTGCCTCCAGGACCCCCACACCCAGTCCCTCCCCCTGTGCTGAGTTTGCCAGGTCTCTCAGGGACACAGGGCACCAGTAACCCCTGGGTTTGGGGGGTGTCAGGTTGTGGTGGGCATCATAGAGAAGTGGGGGGAGGCAGCCTATCAATGCAGCCCTTCACAGCCCCCCCAAACCCACTCTCAGCACCCACTCATCAGCTCCAGTCCATGAGTTCACACCCCCCAACCCTCCTTCCCCGTTGCTCAGGTGGAGACCGATGTGGGACTGGGAGGAGGAGGATGGTGGGAGCCCTGTGTCCCAGGGGGGGTCCTGTGCCCTTCCTTGTCCCCACATCCTTTCCTGGAGACCCCACATCTCCATGTCCTCATGGCCCCCGAATCTTCCTGTGTCCCCCCGTACCCCCCATGTCCTTCCTCATCTCCAGCTCCCCATCCCCTCACCCCCCCGTACCTCTCTGCCCCCCCATGTCCCCATGTCCCCCCCCATCCCGTGTGTCTCTCTGAACCCCCATATCCCCACACCCCACTGTGCCTCTCTGCCCCCGCTATGTCCCATGGCCCCCCCCCATCCCGTGTGTCTCTTGGTACCCCCATAATCCCCACGGTCCCCCATGGACTGCCCCGTATCTCTCCACATCTCCCAGTGCCCCTCCACATCCCGCTGACCCTCCTGCCCCCCCGGACTCCCCCCAATCCCCCCCCCCCCCGTGCCCACCCCTCCTCACCCAGCATGCCCTTGTTGGAGTCGGAGAGGCACATGTCCTTCTCGGCGCTGGGCAGGACGAAGCCCACCACGAAGACCTCGACGCCGTCGGCCATGAGGGCCAGGCCCAGGACGAAGTAGAGGGTCCACTGGAAGCGGCCGTGGCCGCACTCCTGCAGGATGAGCTCGTACTGCTGTGCCAGCTCCTCGCGGTCCTTCCGCCGCTGCCCCTCGCTGTCGTCGAAGGCGCCGGTGGCCGTGGCGGCCCCCAGGCGCTCCCCCCCCTTCAGCGACTCTTGCCGGGGGATCCCCTGGTACTCGCCCTCGTAGATCTCATCCTCCTCATCGTGGCCCTCGGTGGCGTCGCTGGACGCCCCCTCCTCCTCGTTGGCCCCCTCGCCCCCCCGGTAGTAGCCGTCCTGGGGCGCGTAGTCTTCGTCGTCCTCCTCCTCCTCGAAGCGGGAGTAGGAGCGCCGGGTGTACTCGTCCTGCACGCGGTCCATGCCCCGGCTCACCTTCTTGGCCGCCTGCTTCTTCACCTCCTTGGCGATGTCCTTGGCGCCGCGGATGAACGCCGTCCGGTCCCGGAACGACTCGTCCATGGCGCCGGCGGGATGGGACGGGACGCCGGCGTGGAAATGGGGAGGGGTCTCTGCGTCGGGGGGCTGCGCCCTCAGGCCCGGGATGGGGGGAGATGGGTGATGGTGCTACCCATCCGTGGGAGGGGGCGTGGGGGGACCCCGGACACCGGCCCGGACCTGGGGAGCCCAGACACAACCAGGGCTGTGTTAAGAGTGGCAACGGCCCCATATCCCACCTCCCAACTTTTTTCCCGTCTCAGATGGAAACAGGAGGATTTGAGGGGACCCCCTGCCCCACAGCGTGTGGGGGGGGGTCACCACAGGGCACAGCAGGAGCTGGGGTGGGGACAGGTTGGTGGACACTGGTTCCATGCCAGCTCCTGCCCCTTAGGTGCCCCCTCCCCTCACTTGGGGGAATCCCAGCTCCCACAGTCCACTGGGACACCCCCAGCACCTCCGGATCCATCCATTCCACATCCATTCCAAAGGACAGAGGGAGCTGAGGGGGCATCGCTGCCCCCAATACCCCCAGTCAATCCCCCTGGACTGTGAGTCACCCCAAAAACGTGGCCATCAGCAGGCCTGAAGGAGCCCCCTATTTCCTTGGGCACCACAGGATGGAGCAGCACCAGGGGGACAGGGAGGGGACCAGCCCCCAAGGGCACAGGGGTCCCCAAACCCTCCCAGCGCTGCCAGTACCCGAGATGGGGGCCTCAAGGAGACAGGTTTGGGACTGGGGTCCCTCAGAAGATCCCTTGGGGGGTCCCTTAGGTGACAGTGACCTGGCCACGTCCCCGGCTCCGACCCAGCACCACGTGTGCCCGACCACGTTCCCTGCAGAAGCTTCCAGGCAGGATTTGCTGTGGGAGACGCCGGCAGAGGCTGCCCCGGGAAGGGGGGGGGCTGGGGGCACCCCAAGTGCCACAGAGTCCAGCCTTGGGGGAGGAGAGGGGGCACCCAGATACCTGGGGGGTGGCACCTCCCTGTGTCCTCATACCCTGTCCCCCTTCCCAGCCCAGCGACTCCCCCCCGGCCGTGCAGAGCCCAGCTCGGCTCGTGACAGGGATGGACCCGCAGCCCCCCAGCCCGACGCTGCTGCCCCGGCCGCGGGGGCCGGCGTGACCCCCCCAAAGTGCTATTTTTATCCCCGGCCAGGCGGGAAGGAGCTGCGGGCAGAGGGACGCAGCCGGCGCCGTGTCCCCCCTCCCCGAGCGAGGGGACGGGGCACGCGGGGACGCTAAATTTAGCCCTTCGGAAACCCCGTGAGGGGGTAGGGGCTGCGGCAAGGCCCGGCCCCCCCTTCCCTAGCGGAGCCGGGCAGGTGATTTCACAGGATAAAATGGCAAATTCCCCCCTGCTCTCTGCTCCGGCCGGGGGAAGCCCCCGCTCCCCTCCCTGGGGGTCCCGCGGGCCCCCCGAGGCCCCTGGAAGGGGTCGATCCACGGCCAAGGTCATTTTTCTCCGGCCAGGCTGGCGGTGCCCTGCGGAGCCTCCCGATGCGGGGCCGGTGTTTCACGGAGCGGGAGGTGTCGGGGGCTGGGATAAGGAATCGGGGGAAAGGGAGAGGCCAAGTGCGCGGTGAGGAAGAGGATGGGCCGGGGAGCAAGGTCACCGCGGGCTCCGTGACGGAGAAGCGGCCCCACGAGCCGGGGAACCTCGAGCGGCCGAACCGACGGGCAGGAGCCGGCGCCGGATGAGATCAAGGGTTTGATGCCACGAGGAAGCCAGAAATCCCACAGACCGCAGCCCCCCGAAATGCAGGAGCCGGGGGGAGGAGGTGTCCCCCAAAAATGCCCGTCACGGGGGCAGAACGTGCCGCTGGCCCTGCGGCCCCGTCCTGGCGTTGGCCAGAGCCGACACTGCCAGCCCTGGACAAGGTTATCGGACCTGGATCCGGCTCCTCCTGCCGCGCATCCGAGCGGAGCCGGGGGTCGGTGCAGCCACGCACCCCAAAACCCCCGGGGGTCCCACGCTGGGGGTCTCTGCCCCCCACCCCCCGCAGCCCCCAGCCTCCCTGCAGAACGCCAGGAACATGGCGACAAGGGGAGAGTTTTAAATCGCCCGTGTCCAAGGTCACCCCCCAACTACCCCAGTGCCACCCCCTCCCCAAAAACCCGCCGGTCCCCCCCCACTCCCATCCCTGCGGCGGATTCCCGATCCCCTCCGGCTGCTCCCCGGCCGCAGGACGGCCCGGGGGGATGACAGGAGCCCCCGAACACGCACATCCAAAGGCAGACCCGGGCTCCAGGAGAGGTTTTCCAGGACAAAATGGCCACAGCAAGTGGGAAGGAGAAGCCGAACCCCGAATCCATCATCGGTGAAGGCCGATTAACGCCGTGGGGAGGGGAGGGGATGTGGGGTATAAACCCGTTTTGTTCCCCCTTTACCTGGCTCAGTCCTCGCCCCGCTCCAGCTCCAGCTCCCTCCCGACGCCGGCGAGGAGGAGGAAGGTGCTCCGGCGAGGAAGGATGCTCGGGAAGGGATACGGCGAGGAAGGAGGATGCTCCGGCAGCGACACGGCGCGACAGCAGCTCCCGGGTACCAGCGCTACCGCCGCAGCCTCCGCCGCACACACGGAGCGCTGGGAGAGTCCATCGGCGCAGCCCCGGGAAGGGAGGGATCAGCCACGGCACGCGGATACCGGGGGGGCTCGGCGGGAGCGGGGGGGGGGGCTCGCCCCTACCGAGGGGGGGGGGTGCGATGGATCCCCCGGGATGCGCACGGGGAGCTCCCGCGGGATCGGGGCTCCCGGGATGGAGCCGCTGGGATGGAGCCGCTCCGGAGGCTGCCGATGGCGGGGAGCGGGTGGTGGTGGGCACGGGGGGCACGAGCCCGCGGCCCCCCCGGATCCCTCGGCGAGGCTCAGCCCCCCCCCCCCCTCCGCCCCCCGCCGCCCCCCGCCCCCGGCACGGCTGAGTCACGGCCTCCGCGGGGCTGGATTGGGATTTTTTGGGATCAAATCGTCCCCGCCCGGGCTCGCCAGACCCGGCCCCTCTGCTGCGACACGACACGAACGGCCCCTGAGGGATTTTTTTTTTTTTAGGGGAGGGGGGGGAGCTACGGCCAGGAGGGCACAGCGAGGTCTGGAATACCCAAATTGAACGTCTTTTCCCACGGATCGTTTCCCAAGGGTGGGAAATCGGGACCCCCAGTGCTCCAGCCCCACTCCCCCTGGGGCTCTGGGGGAGTGGGGCTGTCCCCCCCAGCTGAGTTCGGGGTTGGGGGTCCTGGGGTCCCCACAGTGAGCAGGGATGGGGGGGTCCTCCCAGAAGCAGGATCTCCCCTGATCCCCCTCCACTTACATCCCAGCGTACCCAAAGCCCCCTCCTCCTGCATCCCAACATTCCCAGAGCCCCAGCCTTCCCTAAAATCCCTCTCCCTGCATTCCGTGCAACGAGTTGATCCAGTCTCAGCATCCAGGATGTCAATCCCAAAGCCCCCCAATCCATCAGGATCCAGCAGGATCAGCACTTCCCCTCTCAGACTGGAAAACACGGACAGGGACCAGTCCACACCAGCAGCACCAGCACAGGGAAGGATTTAGGAACCCAAGAGCCGAGAAATAGTGGTGACACCTTACTGGAAACAACCCCAAAAGCGGGATGGAGCTGCAGGGCGAGGCCGGGAGCAGGGCAGGGTGCCCGCTTGGGATCAGGGCTGTGCCCTCGGGAGATCACAGGCCCAAAGAGCCCCGGGGGCAGCTCAGCCCCAGGGGGAGTGTGTCCCATGTCCTCAGGCTCCTGGTGACTCATGTGCCACTGTCACCACCGAGCTCCTGTCCCCGCCCTGTGTCCCCACTCCGATCACACTCAGCCCCGGGGGCTTCATGTGGATCATGGGAGGAAGAGTCTTGGCAGCAGCCAGGGAATGGCTCCTCCTTGGGAATGTTTGGCAGGGCCTGAAAACCCGGGGGGGGGTGAGATACAACTGGGGGGAGTGGGATAAAAACAGGGGGATGGTGGCATAAAATAGGGGGAAAGGGATAAAAGCAGGGCTGACAATGGGATACAGCTGGAGGGAAGATGGGATGTAACTGGGAATGATGGGACAAAACCAGAGGGGGTGATAGGATAAAACTGGGGTGACAGTGGGGTAACACCAGGGGAGAAGGGGGTGATGGAAGCCAACAGTGCCCTCTCCCTCCTCACAGCTTCCCAAATCCTTCCCATCTCCAGGTCCTGCTCTGACACCTCCTCACGGTGCTGAATGAACGAGGAAAGGGCAGATGATTCTGGAACAGCCCTGGGAAGCACAGAGCCATCCTCTCCCTCCTCTCCCAGCCCAACAGCTTCACCCCCAGTTAAGATCATCCCCAAAACCACAAGAAAACCAGCTGAGAGCAATCCCAACCCAAGATCCCATAGCTCATTCCCCTCCTGAGGGAAGGGATGTGGCAGGGACTCAGCAGAGTGGGATTCATCCCAAATCCCTCCTCTGAACATCCTTGTCTCTGAGATGAGTGTCCCAGGCTCCGAGGGTAGCCACCACCCCTCAGCTGGTGACAAACACGAAGAGCCTCGTCCCCAATCCAGGGACCCCCTCGGTTCCCAAATCCTTTATTTGCCGGCGGGCGGCCGCTGCTTTCCGTACAAAACCAACAAATCTGGTAAAAAGGAGCTCGGAAAAGCTGCCAGGGAGAGAGAAAGGGGAGGAGGTGGAGGGAAAGTGAGGAAAACCAACAACACTATAAAAAAAAACCAGGAGGGGAAAGCGGGGGGGGCAAGGAGGGAGGGGAGGGACACCCCCAGTCCCCCCTAGGAGTGGGAATGTTGGTCCGAGGGGGCCGGGAAGGCCGAGGATGGAGACAGAGGGTCCCGAGCGGGGTGGGGGGGCTGCCCCCCCTCTCAGGGCAGGGGTCCCCGCAGGGGCCCGCGGGGGGGCACCCCGGGGGGTCTCTGTGCCGGCCGTGGGGGCAGCGGGACCCTCTGGTATCCGTAGGGAGGGGGCCGGGGGGGCCCGTTGTAGCCGTGGGGCGGCATCAGCGGGGGGGGCCCGCGGAGCCCGTGGTGCGGCAGCGGCCCAGGGTGACCTGTGGGACAGAGGGGGGGTCAGCACCTGTGGGGGGGACAGGCAGTGCCCCCCAAACCCCCCCAACCCACCCCAGGGGGTCCAGAGACCCCAGGGGTGCCCCTCAAACTCCCCCAACCCCCCACTGTGGGTGCCCCCCAAATTCCCCTGTGGGTGCCCCCCTAAGCCCTCCCTGCCCCGTGGGTTCCCCAGATCCCCCCCCGGAGCAGATCCCACTCACCCATGGGTGATCCAAAGTGCGGCCCCCGGGGTGGGAGCCCCATTGGGGGGGGTCCTGGGTGGGGCATTCCCGGGGGGGGTCGAGGAGGGGGCTGCCCTCCGGAGCCCGGGGGTCCCGGGTGGTGCTGGCCCATCCCGGGAGGTCCGTGGTGCACCTGCATCGGCGGCATTCCTGGGGGGACAACATGAGTTAGGGGTGCAGGGAAGCAGGGAAGCAGCTCCTGGCACCCCCAAGGGGGTTGGAATTCCAGCTGGGTCTGGTTAGTGAGGGATGCAGAGGAGCTTCTGCTGCCAAAAAGAGGGTTAAAGAGGAGGGAACACGAAGCCAACAGCAAGAGGAAAGGGCCTGGATGCAAGTGTGTGGGAAAACAGATGAAATAGAAAGTATGTGTGGGAAAAGAGATGGGATCCTGTGTCTGTGCAGCCCTGGGACAGTGAGGAATGACCATCCTTAGAGATTCTGGACAAGCTCCCAGAGCAAACTGGTGCTGGAGCCCGCCCTGCCCCGACTGAGGAAGCCAGGATTCCCCCCAAAACCTGCTTTTTCTCAATTATCCCATTTTATCCCGTTGAAGAAAAGTCCAACAAACTGATTCCTTCCTCCCCCTGGGAAGCTCCAGCCCCCAGTTTTCCCTCTCTGGGTGTAATTGGCTCCACTCAGGCCCCGCCACCATCTGCTCCCGGCACGGCCAGGGCGGATCACACAAAGCTCCCTAATCAGGGCAGCTCCAGAGCCACAGGATCAAACAAATCCCAGAGAATCATTAAATTGCACATTTCACAAAATCGGGGCTTTTGAACCCGGAGCTGAGGTGCAGCCACGGCTCCTTCCTGGGGCCAAACTGGAATCGGGGAAACGACTTGTTTCCTTGAATTATTAATCCCTAAATTAGCTCCTGCCTTCCTCCCCTGCATCCCTGCTTTCCT